GGGCCACAGAGATTCGACCAACTTTCTCCGCCTCCATCCACCAAAGTTTTACACCGGCATTACTCGTTGAACTCACGATTGGGTAGCAAGTGAGTGTGACGTTTTAAATGCAGTTTTAACCATCTTCATCCCCTTCACTCATCAAACGTTCACCGGCATCCCTTCTGAAAGTGTCATAGTAATCTCTATCATCGTGTTGGGGTGGTAATTTATGTTCCTACTTTAGGTAGCCATTTAAAACATTTCTTAATCTGAGGATACGAAAATAATGGTACTTGATAACTTAAAAANCCACCCCTTTAAATGACCTTAGCTGTTGATAGGATGTAGGACGTTTAACCCTATACAACTAACTACCCCCCTCACCCCCACCCTCCCCGTTCTCCCGGTTACCTTAATGAACATTCATTCTGCAAATATAAAAATGCTACTTATGTTTGACACTTCATGAGAACAGCCATTTATATTTGAATATAAATCTTTGAAGAGATTAAAGTATCAAAGTACAATACAATTTATTAAAGCAATCTCTATTGTTAAAAATCAAACAGAACGACAGCAAGTTGTATACCGGTACTCAAATATGTATGTAGCTCCGTAACGATCAAGTGTTGACACGAAACATCAATATGTATGCTTCTTACAAGTAGATTTATATTGGATCTGATAAATAAGAGTATCGGGTGATTATAATAAAAATCCAAACTTCTTAAATCTTGTTTCACGTGTTTTACATGTGATCCGATAGATATGAGGTCTAATCACTTAAACTAAACTTGTAAATCTTACAAATTTTATTAAAGTTTCTCTTACGTGATCTATAAGCACGTTGGAACGAGTGTACCAGTAATATTCTTTTAAGTATTATACGGAGTGCAATTAAATATGCATTGTCGTCTTTCTTAAGTACGAATCAAGTCAGATATGTTTGCATTAAACTTTAATTGTTGTTATTTTTATCATTTCGTTTCCTTGTTTTCTGAAAAGTTCATTTTAATTAACATAATTTGCTGTCATCCATACCATGCATGGATCGGTGAATGTGACGAATACATAATGGAAGCCAGTTAAGTGGTGCTACATTCTGCGTACACAGTGTAGGATTATGTTGAGTGAGACTCGCTTTATTTTACAAGGTGAATCAGTTTCGTTGTTGACATTTATAGGTCTAATCAAAGGAGCGATCGCTTTAATGTTTCATTTCAAATTCAATTTGTTCATGGTTAAAATTGTCAGATCAATAAAAGGAGCCATACTTTGTACCAACAACTTTTCAGACACGCGCTCCTGCACGTGAAAGTGAGCAATGCTAAACCAAGGCAATTTTTTCAGTTACAGTGAACGGAATTCCGATTAAGGTAAAATCGTCTGTTCAGGGCCAATGAGGGGACATTTACCTCAGTATAAGCTAAGCTTGCTGTTTCAATAAACTTTATTGCGGTTTAAAATGTACCAAGTTGCTGTGTGATGCATAAAATGCTTTCCGTTTTGGTTTGACATTTCCTCGGTCCCTGTTGTTTGAACTCATATTCTGTCTGAAGATGCTTGACTTATTTGTAAAGAGGAAGATTTGAGACACCAATAGTCTTTACTTAATGACGTACCCCTTTACAGATGTTTTAATTTGGTTTATTTGTTAATTGATAGTTACACAAATTTTAGCCTCAGTAAATTTAACTTAAAATCTATTTTAACAGAGTAACGTAATTCGTATATAATCAAAATATGTTGAATTAATTTAGCTTGGGTGTGTACCTGCATCGGTATTTGTCAAATATTTGCTATAATAACATTCTGATAATGTTTATCTCTGTTGTCAAGATAGTGATATATCGACAATTTTCGTGTTAACTGTGGCTATTTAAATACATAAACTGTATAATTTATGTTTTAACGACACTTTTTTTTCAATACCAAACATCACACAATATCGATTAGCATTATTAACAATATCGATTAACAATTATTTGACTACAAATAATCATGTAAGGTAACCTTTCTGGAATCTTTAGATTTTGGTTATGTAAAATTGTAAATTAAGTCACTCTTGTGTAATTAGAAAAAAATTGTATTTAAATATTCTGTTTGTGTGGGTTTTTTTTTAATTTAGCCATTAATTAATATAAAACATTACGTCATGTTTGGGGGAGTTCATATAGTTGATCACAAGCTATTGATTCTCAAATCTTCGTCAGTGCATTTGTACTGACATGCCTTAGAGTGTTAACGGTGTATTATATATATATTTTTTCTACCCGACTTGATACTATCACAAAATTTGTATGCAAAACCATGTATTTCTACTTATCGTTGATATTTATCATATGTAAATGAGTTTGTAGTTTATTTTAGATTATCATGTGGACCTTTAAGAGTAAATGTGTTCACTTTCAAGGGTCGTTGATTCATAAGATCAAATAGGGGTCAGCGAAAATAGCTGTAATTTTACTATGAGGAAACCGGCTTGGTTGAGTGAGTAAACACACCGATATGGTCACATAAAATAGGAATGATGAATTGTCTAGTTTTCATCTTACTCTCTACATACAATGAGCATTAATACCAGAAAAACATCAAAGCAAAATTAAAAATAAATAAATATATGAATTGATTTCATTTCGAATATATATATTTACAAATGGAATCTGATTTTAAAGAAACATATTGATCTGTCCTACTTAGTGTTGTTGTCGGTGATCTTTGGTGTCCTTCAAGCTAACCACAAACTGGCGCAGCTTTACGACTCTTAGATGTTGTACACGCGGTGTTTATCTACATGTCATTCCGTGGGTCTTACCTAGTACTAATGCATTAATATCCGGCTCAAGATCGCCAAAATGCTTGTCCTATACGAGTACCAGTTAATCTTATGTCCACACACCCAACGGGGGAAGCCTATAAGGTCATATGAATACCCAGCTTTATCTCCTTAAATTAAACAGTATCACCCACCTTTAAAATAGATATCTGGCCATAGATAGGAATATTCATTAAACAATTGATTTATGTGTTACGATCTTTCAGTTGATGTATACATTTTTTTTGTTGTTTTATATTTTATTCTAATATATATTTCTCAAACGAACACTGTATGGATGTTTTCGGAATGATATTCGTCAGTTTGGTATACATAATATGTGCTATGTTTGTTTTGAACTTAAACAGCTATTAAAAACTTGTTTTACGAGCGTTCGAAAACACCTATTTTCTTTGTCAAGCAAAGCAAAGTTAATGTGTATATTGCTTGCTAGTGATATTTCTTCACAATCGTATTCTCATTATCCCAAATTTATTATTGAATATTTTTATTCATTTATTTAATTTTCCTAGATGATAAATACTGTTTTTTTAATTCTATATCATCATGTCTTTGATTGGATCAATGGACCATTGAAACAGCAGGCTTTCAGTATAAGATCAGTTGAATTAATGGCTCCTATAAGTACACTGACAACATATAGTATGTAGGTACATGTTTTACATTTGAATGTTTTTTATTACCCCCGAACTAATGTAAAATAAATGTTGGTCACTTTACTTGGTAGGTTTTTGGTAAGACATATTGTATCTTGATTTGCATTATCATTCTGTTTTTCTTTTTATTATTTTCATAACATGGTTTATATGACTAGCAGATTCTCTGTTTAACATAAGAAGAAAATCATGCAGAGAAACATAATTATATTTTTTGTTCGGCACCACAAGCTTATCAGACTGCTAGCTTTTGAAGTATAACACCCACCTAGGGCTTATATAAAGGAGATGGATGTGTGGTGAGGGGAGAAGGTGTTTACTTATCATAGCTGTTAAATAGCTTCATCCATCACGGTGACAGGGCGCTATGACAAGGAGCTTTCCGAAAACTCACGGGCATGAAATTGACTTTCTTGTTAAAAACACACGTTCCTTATGGATCTATTCTCCCTGTAATTGTTTTCATAATTTGACAGGAACAGAAATATGAGGAAACGTACACCATAAATAGGATAGGATAGGGTAATTGTGACATGTCTCTTCTGAGCGTACCAGCTTGTAGATGATAATAGTGTCGAATCATTTATGAACTCTAATTATTTAAATTTTTGGATGCTACGAGAAAAATATGCAAATATTGACCCGTATTTTTCGTGTGATTCATTGACAAAGTTTTAGTAAGTTATATCATTATTGTTGATTCTGTTTGAAAGTTCATTTTTAATGAGTTCTCATTTAAGTAAAGGCTGCACTTAAATCAACTGAATCAAAATTCAATTAAATGCAATTAGTGTAATACTAAAAAGTATTAAAGGGCAGAAGTTTGAATTTTAGGAACAATACTTTCTGGTGCAAATATAATTAATAACCAGGATGTTAGTTATACTTTTTTTTTCTTTGTGAGCATGCGCCTTTAATATGTACAAAATAATGGTCAAACTAGTAGGTATTTGTACATTTTTAATGTTATGATATCGTGTTGCATAAATAGTTATAGGAATATCATTATTATCTCCTCAGTAATCGGTCATCGTAACATCATTTTTGAGATGGTGACACGTAGTTTCGACCTATATTTACATGGCTGGTGAATGAAACAGAAGACGCTTACCCTTTTGCAACGCATGGTCTTATTATCTTTCGAGTTCGAATTACAGTTTTTGATTACTTCAGTACTCTCTTGGTTTCTTATTTTGCTATCGACCATCATAATGTTATCTTTCGTTGTATCATTCTTTGCTTGTTACTTTTCTTTTCTACTTAACTTAAGCATCACAACATCATATCAATTAAACTAATCTTAAACAAAACAGATATACGGATATAACATGAAGAATTACTAACAGAGCTATGTTCTGTTTGAACTTCAGTAAAATATCAATCTGCTTAAAACCAGATGTTTAATTCCACTCCGATACTCAACGTTTCAGATATTTCATTCCACTTCGATACTCTACGTTCCAGATCGGAGTGCAATGACAGATCTGGTTTTAATCAGATCGATAAAATATCACAATAGAAACGTAAAGAGAAAATATACTTTTAATTGCTCAAATATCTTCAATGCAGTATTTACAATATAGCATATTGTAACAACTCTCTTAATACCAAAGAGCGAAATATTATAACAAGCAGAAGAAAAGCATGGTCATACCGATATGGATTGGATTAACAACAATTAATAAACAAATGGAATACACATGGAAACATCGATGTCGTAAACCTAATATATGTAGCAAACAGTAGCTACGTGACAATAATTCATATCATACGTGACAATAATTCAGAAAGTAGCGAAATTAAACACTCTTTTTAGACTAAAACTATCTTTAAACATACATTACTATTATGTTTTAATCCCATTACTGAATTTTCATATTTAATGATACAAAACAAACAAAATACATCAAACACATACCATAGAGTTTTTTAAGATTGAAGCACTTTTCTGTAACATTTGAAAGTACTTTCTTCTTGATAGATAAAATGCTATTCAAACTCGTCTAAATGAAGGCAACCTTCATAATATTTCTTCCAATTTGATCTAAACTTTTCCATCACATACCACTGCAAACAAAACAAAACTCCGCCGACTTTTATTACTTACCTTGCTATTTAACCACCAGCTTCTATACGATTTCACGATTGACATAAACAAGATGCTTTACACGTTGTTTGATAACAGTTAATTATCTCTGATAAAGCAGACGATACTTTCATGGATTTCATTTACTTCACCTATGTACATTAACTACTTTAAACGAAATAAGGAAACACCTATCTAAAACATAACCATGCGATGCAGATAGCCAAAAAAGTGAATATTGACTAACCTAATGCCAGCTTTGTCCGTCTATCATACTAAAACTTAAATAATCCGCTCCATTCTTCATAATTCTTTAAAATTGACAAGCACATCGTTATCATTAACTCTTAGGATTAATTAATTACGCATTTCAAAGAAACGTCGATACAAATACTAATTAAACTTTTAATTAAGATAGGACTTTGAAGTAGATTAAAGGATTAAAATCCCTTCGATTTCACTCAATAGTAGGAGTTAATAGTAATTTCCGGAATGTTATTCTGCAAGTCGTCCGTTTCGCCTTCTGGCAACATTGACACGGATGGAATAGACTCCAATGACCTTTGCCACGGTGTCGTAGTTTCCGCCACACTCATGTCTATAAATAGGTCCACATAATTATCCTCCACTACCGAGTACCTCGGAAGAAATTTACCAGTTTGTGGCCCCAAAGGGATACCGTTACTAGGAGGTTTGTCGAAATAGTTGACCAAGTCAAATGGTTTATTGCCATTGTCAGGGGCTTTCTTTTCTTTTATGTATGTATCTATATTGTTCTCTTTCGGTTTGTCGTTTTTCTCTTTGTTTGTACCACCATTTTCAGTTTCAGCCTTATCTTCAAGTATGGTTTCAAGGCTCTGGCTCGCTTTTTTGGCATTCATTGGATTTCCTTCATCTATACTGTTCGTCTCTGATCGCATTTCACTACCGTCGGCTTCTGACGGGACATCATTCTCAAAGATAAGATCATACAGAGGCCAGTTTTGTTTAAACTCGCTGATAATTTCGTCAATTTGACCTTTGAAACTCAAAGTTTTTAAATTAAGCTTAACAGACTTACGCGGTAAAACGTTTTTCAAGAGCATCGGGACGAATCCACCAGCAAGTGTGGCCAGTGTTTGATTCGTGGATGATATCTGGTGCACGTTCCCGAATGCCATGACAACGATCATGACAAAGAAGAGGAATACCACAATGATAAGAAACTTGCCTGTAGCACGTAGGAGGTTTATATATACGGGACCAGGTGCTCCATGTATCCGCACTTCACAGAGCTTCTTGAAGAGTCGTAATGGAATTCTTGGTGTATCATACGAATCAAGGAACAACAACAGATGACCTATTCTCCAAGCTGGCTCTTTTTTCTCGAACGAAAGAACGGTTGTGATTTCATCGAGTGTTTCCGGTGGTTGGACTTGGAACGCAGCGTTTTCCTGCATACTAGACGGTAGACTCGCCACCTTCTTCAAGTCTTCCACTCTGTCCATAACGTCCTCTATCACCGTCTTGTTGAACGTAAGATAACTCTCGTACACGTTATTGTAGCAGTCGTGCATATAGACAATAACCAACAGCGCCATAGACACGTATCGGAGCGTGCTGCCAGCGTTCACAATGATACCCATCATGGTAAAGGCTAAAACCTCGACAACCAGTCCAACAGCCTCTACAAACAATAGAACAATGGCGTAGAGGCAGGATAAACAGAACAAACCAACGATTATCTGAACAAACACCCGCCTAATCATCATAAGGCGTCCCGACCCCCACGTACAGGGAAACACGTGATCATCTTCCGTAAATGCTGAATTGCGACGATGCACAGTGATGTCAATTTTAGACAACTGTTTTTGGATCTTTTTCACCCGTTTTTTAGTTTTAGTTAATGGTTTTATGGATTTTTTACTGTCGTCTCGATATGATATTTTCTTTCTCGAGTGATAGAGTAGCCTGTATGATAGGTAAACAGTTGGTATACAGTACAATACAAACACCGTTAGACAAAATGGCGCAGTGATACTCGCGTAAATTGGACAAAGTATTATGGCCAATAAACCACACTTACGGAAAGGCCAAAGACCGATACGTAGAATTACCTGAAGCACACTTGTTCTTTGTACATTAAGCATATCCTGAAGAGATCCACGAGCTATGGATTTAAGTTTTTCTCTTGTGATTTCGTCGGAAAATCCTATGATAAACCCTACAGAAAAGTAAAACACATAGGTAGCGATAAATATTCCATGTGTTGGCGTTAAATACTGAATGATATTTCCTCGGTAGAAATTAAATCCCATTTGCAAGTTAAACTCTCTTGCTACCATATCCCTTCTAACCATTTCTCCCTCTTCAAATTGGTAGTAGATATATACTCTTACATAGTACGGAATGGGAACCAAAAACAGCAAGAGAATCTTCACTGCCATCTGCACAAACATGTGCCACGTACACTTGTGTGCGATCTGAGTTTCTAGCGACGCGTACACACTCCTGTCACAACACTCCCGGAAGGGATCGAGTGCTTTAATCTTACATCGAATCAGATTGTCGTAAATTGTACGTAGAAGACCAGTCGGCGGCTCATTCTCCGGGATAATTCTCTTTCCCTTTACCTTCACACGTAACTCCGGGATTTTGATAGGCACTATCTCATCCATCGGACATTCTTCTATGCTTTCTCGGAATTTCTTCCACTCAGAAATGTCCTCAATTGTTAGTCGTTTCTTGTACCTTATTGAAGTTTCGGTGCTTTCGGTGATAAACATTTTCATTTTAAGTTCATCTTTTAATTTTACCACGTATTCGGAAGCAACGTACGACGCGCTATACATGTAGCTTGGCAAGAGGAGAGGACTGAAGAAAAACACAAGAATTTTCACGAGGCCTATACACACGTACAACACAGTTATCCAAGCATCTTCCACTTGGTCAGTGCAGACAGTGTCCCCGTTAATGTTTTGGTGACAACACCTGTTACCGAATTCCGCATACTGACCAGTTTTCTTCACCACCTCATTGCACACATACACAATGTTCTGTAAATGCGTTTCACTTTCTAGCTCTGTCATGGTTTTCTTTATGGACCTAAAATCGTCCAGAATTAGTTGTCGGATTAGGACTACTCTTTTCTCACCAGTCAAATTACCGAAACAGCCGAAGGGACTGTCGATAAGTTGGATATTATTTGCTTCCACGCCGATGGTTAGAATAGTCATCGACAACACATCGTAGTGAAAGGACAGCATTAGCAGGGTCCTCCCATGCTGTGTTCGTGTTCTGTACCACCTCCATGGCTTGTAGTTCATGCCAAGATCTGTGTAAAGAGGATTTGTGGAGTAATTTGCCATGCTGAAGTGAAATTCATTCAATTGAACCCATGCGTCGTCCATGTACTTCGAGAATGTGTCATCCGTGGGTTTTATGTTACACTTTGTGTTTAGGAGTCCCTGACCGCCCCGCGTGGTTGGAAAAACAGCATGGTTGGTTGGCAGAAGACCCAGAAGGAATGCCAACACAAACAACGCACGTGCTACTGTCGTCATTGCTGATGTGTTCTACATGTCAACAGCTACCTGAAATGAGATTAATACGTAATTTTTATACATATGACGTAGGTCTGCGTATTCTGAGCTATAAACAGTAACAGTGAAATATAATTGTAAAATGAATTGCCGAATTATATAAACTTCAATGTTCATTTTTAATGATCCACCAAACTAAACTAATACGAATTGTACTTTCATGATGAATGATTGAATTGCGTCAAAAAGAAGCACTTAGCTACGTCGTTAATAGCATTGTTAACTTCGGTGATTCACACGAATGACTCTGAACTTGATGTTTTTTCCCATATCAAAATCTACTAATACAACGTACGGGATTTTACCTTAAATAAAACATTCAATAAGAGTACTCAAATCAGCATATTTCAGATTACTTATATTATAGTATAGTATCTTACTTATTAATTCAAATACTTTTCTGTTTAATCATGTTTAAATAAACTTTGATGATAAATATCAGGAAGTGAAATATTATATCTGTTACCGCAAAAGTACATAACAGTTTGTTATAGTTGTAGCGCTGATTGCTAAAACCACATCATAGACATTGGCTGGCGAATATACATGTATGGAATGTGGAGGTATTGGTGACGCGGTAACATCGCTGATAGACAATCAATTTGTTAGTTATCTATGGAGACAATGTGAAATGTTAATGAGGTGATCCTTAGATGTCATTAATCATGTGACGTAACCTATCAACTTCTCGTTATCGCTGTCAATTTATTGGTATAGACTTACACAAGTCCTCATTATTCAACACATTTATTTATTAAAACGTCATACTTATTGTGAACTCATGCATCTTATATAGGTTCCTCTATGACGGATTTTAGCTTATTTGCGTAAAATATTTTTGCTTTATAATAAAATCACATGATTTGCCTAGTTTCAATTCTAATGGTTAAGATACCCAATTAGAGATAATGGATCTTGAATTATATTTTCGCTTAATGTCATCATTTCTCTCTCCAATGGCGAAAGATATCTCAATGATACATAACGTCACGATCCAATTATGAAGTCGGAGTTTTTGTTTTAACATCGATAAATTCATCATTAAAAAAGGATTGTATTACTTAGCCCGTCTTTACCGGTACCAAGTAATAGCGTATGTTGGTAAAATCTGGTTGTGAATAGGAAAAATACATTCAAGCTGTATTTTTTTTTACTTTAAAAAATGCAAGGTTAACAATGTAGTAGAATTTTACCGCTGAACTCAAAACTAAAAGACTACTATAAATAAATGTAAAGCAACGTTGTTAAGTTAACCTTATATATGGTATTTTAATTTGATCATACCACATGCAATACTATGCGTAATTACATGTTTTGTCATATAAAGACAACACTATGCCCAGTTCTAGCCAAAACATATATGTTTTTTGACGAAGAACTTTTCGTTCAGTACATGGCATGCTGACATGATAGGCAGCAATGGATTCATAAATGTTTGATAAGTGACTTTTGTGACTTGAACTCGATATTAAGGTAGGTATAATTCAGAATAAGCAATGAAATGCAAAAGAAACAGACACGCTGTGTATGATAATTATATATTACAAAAACATTTGAAAAGACACACTTGAAACTTGAAATTTAATTGTTATTTCACCTCAGGCGACAAGGGGGTTTCATAGCTTAACCATTCTTCTTCAAATAATCACAAATATTTAGATAGTCAGGTAGGTAGATGTGTAGACATAGAGTGTTATCATGGTGTTATTTTCCAGGTATCTACCTTATGGATTTTTATCGTCCTGTATCTACTCATTCAACTGTAACTGTCATACCAGAAGATTACATTTTGCAGAATTATACCGGATGTCATGCGTTAAAGTCATAGCACTCCGTTAAATCATTTCATTTCCTGAAATTAATTGCTTCAAACAAAGCGGATTATTCTAAAAGATTCCGGATTTTCTATTGACCTTTTTATTCTTTAACGTTTCAATTTTAAAACAGCTGACCCGCATATAAATCATATCTCATTCCGACGCTGTCTCGTTTGTATACTTTAAATTCGCATAAATTGTATTGACCGCTCAAGTAAATATATACATTTTTAATGTTATGGGTTGAGGTTAAACATAAATAATGTGATGTGATGATTCGCCAAACGTGTCTCCATTAACAAAATATAAATGTAAATTTAAAATACATTCCTCACATTCCTGTACAGTTAACAAGCAAACAAGATTATGTATACACGGTTAAACATGCGTGCTGATTCTACCCATAGTCTGTACGTAGTGTAATTTACATGCTCATGTTTATCATTCAGTTATGCGTTGATTCCTCGCCTTGTCTATGTGTAGTATTTAATGAACAAGTTCATAAACGAGAAACTCATCATGTTTTTCCGTAGGAGATTTATATTGTTTACAATATCGTATAATGATGAATTATCAAAAGGTAAACGTATCACACACTCAGGTGAATCTTTAAACTCTGGTAGCTTTGGTCATATATACAGTATGAATCATCGTTATTGCTAAAAATTGGAAAAAGCCAAATTGTCCAAGCTACTGTTGAATCAAAGCGGCAGGTGCGTTAACTCCCTGAATTATGACTACATTTTGTTTAGAGGAGTACTGGTTAGTTTCAAATTAATCAATATGTAATGTTTGTGTATTAGGAGCAATGCCGCTACTCAAAATGATAACTGTGGCCAACAAGGTAAAGTCAAATCACGGGGACTAAGCAATACTCCAGCAGTTTCTAGCTCCTTGTATCTTGAAAGTTGAAAATAACACACACACAGATGATTGCACTTTTGAAGATTGGTAATTAATGCAGTAAGCCAAAAATGAATTACACAGTATGATACACTGTTTCGTCTCTCTAGGAATCATTGGTGATGCTAGTGGCCTAGAAATTGGAAATCCAAATTGTATACACTACTGTTGAAAAGGAGGGGTAGGAGCATAAAGCCCATGAATTGCTGTGGTAATCAAGGTTACAGAAGATCCCAGAAACTATACAGACTCCACCAGCAGCAGAGTCTACCACCTTGTATATACTTTTGTTTATTAACCTTCTTGACATTTCTTCAGCCTAACGACAAAAAGATATATCGGAACCCAAAGTTACATCAAGTGATTCAGAAGAAATACTTTCTGCACCACATGTGCCACACGTTAAGGATCCCTGTACTACTGCTTAAAACTGTAATTACGCATTGGAAAAAAAAATCTGGATAACTATAACTTTAATAATTATATTTAAAAAACAAAAAAAACAAAAATAAAAAAAATTGCAGGACCTTCATGAAAATGATGAAGAGGAATTTAACAATTTGTAATCAACAATGGTGTTTTCAGTGTAAAACATAAGCAGGTCCAGAGCCGGATTCGAACACTGGCCTTCAACTTGCTATTATTTCGTTGTAATCAACTGAGCTATGATGTCGAAGAAAGTGTTTAACTTCAACTGCGTTACAGTTATATCCAAAACGAATTAAGGGGAAGTTACTAAATATACGAAAAACCACAATGATATTCTCTAGTGTTTTGCCTGCAGCGGTTGCAGGGATCCCTAGGAAGCCTCCTATAAAATCCGGAAAAGCGTGTTGGTCATTGACGATTAACAGAAGTTGTTGCAATATCAACAAATATAATACGCTCTGTATACAATTCTTAAGTCCTGTTAGTTCCGGCGTAGTTACAAATGAGGTCATGATGGCGACTTAAATATTTCTCTCTTCTTTAGCGTTAGTTGAAATCACCATGTTTAACAAATCCTACTATCATTCTGTGTAGTTAAATAGATAACTGTGCAAACATATCCAAAACTAAAAACAGAGTTGCCAACTATCTCTGATTATCAATTAATGTGCAAGGGAGTCCTAAAAAAGAAAAGAAAAAAAAGTAAACGTATTAGTACGTTTATAAAGGGAGTGGCTTTAGCATAAGTAGGTCACAGGGATATTATAACATTTTGACATTGACAAACGATGCAACCACCTGCAAGTAAAGCAACACGCATCCAATTCAGTATCGTATCATTGAACACATGCTAAAATGGACATAACATCTGATTAAAGAAGGTCGGTTTGTATGACCTGGTTATAATTCAGGCTGTAGACGACTTGTTACATCCGATTACTGTTAGGGGGCTGACGGTTTTATTACAAGTTTGACAGGACAGGGGGCCTATATATCATCACCGATGCTATGTATAGTCTAACAAGGGTCATTTACTGTTACTTCAATTGATCACCATTGACAAAAGCGATGTAAACTTGATATACAAACCAAATTAGTAATGAAAGTTTTATCGCTTTACAAATTTAACATCGATGACGCGGAATATATAATAATAAAACAGCTCATATAGAAATTGTTTACGGGATACAAATGTTATTATAAATTGAAGTATACAATCAAAAGTAAACACATTCTGACCATCGTTAATACCTCGTTTATATTTCCTTTTTAAACCTCATAATATATGTGTGCACATCCTGGAACTCACGAAAAGTAAAGTAATGAAAAGAATAAGACCAAGTTGCTGTTTTTATAAAGACCTCGAGACGTTTGTTTATTAACGACGAGTCTATCATTCTCTAACTTTCATTGACACAAACATCCCGTTGAAAGATTATCAGACCATTCTAAATCCAAATGAGGAAGACAATACAAAAAAATACAGGAATTGAATAGTCGCCAAACTTCAAAACAAAAAATCAAGAACCTTTTTTCACCTCACTATTTTATTCTTACCTAAATACGCCACATCATTGCAGTCAAAAAAGGAGGAGGAGCATTCGCGAATTTTTTTTTTATCTAAATATTTGCCAAGTTGCAACTGAAGACCAATCTTGGTTGTTAGAAGAATGTTTTTTATATGACATACAAAGACAAATGTTGTATTTTTAGGCAAATTTGGGATGTTCCTTGGTTTCTATTCATAATATATTTCAATCCATATCAATTCACAGTATGTTGTAACACTGTTGTAACGCTGTTTGATTTTGTGATCGTTTCTTGCCATGGATCCTTAGTATCTATTGTATTATAAGTTTACGTATTGGTTGTTTATTTGTTGGTTTTGCTCTTGAGCGTTAAACATCATGGTTAACTGACTTTTAAACAGATAAGCGACACGGATACCCGCGATCAAATTTGTTTATGGTGTCATGGGTCCTCCCAGACATGGCGTGTGACAAAGTGGTATGTTAATGATCTCCATAGGACCATAAAAAGAGTATAAATGTTATAGAAGGTGTGCTTTTATGGACGACGGATCACTTCCGTGTTTCCTTATAGAATGTTAGATATTCATATCATGGTAGGATGTCAATGGTACATGATACGATAGAATTGGTAGGAAGACATATTTATCATGTAAGAATATTTGTATTACATGCTAAATTTCTTGTTATGTATCATAAATCTGTAAGCAAAAGTCAGGAGTTAAGCTATAACAGTCATGGCAGGATGTCAGAAGGATAAATTAAACCAGAATGTTAGAATATATTAGATAGGTAGGTGTGTGGGATATGTACATGACACAGAAAGGTGTAAAAAGATGATTGCACCCTAACAATTTGGTAATAGATTCATTATGCTAAAATTAAGTTTCACTGCACTATAACGTTGTTTTGTCATTCTATGACTCATTGGTAATGCCTGGGGCCAGAACGGTATATATCCAAATGGTCAGAACCAGTTTTGGAACAGAAGGGAGGTGCGTAAATCAATTTAGCAAGGTTCAAAAGTTAGGAAAGTATTAAATAATATAAAATTAAATAATGAGGAAGTTGTGTATAATGTCAACATGTCACTGCACAAAAGAGATAATTTTGTGGTTATCAAGTTGACTGCAAACCGAAATTCCGCCAGCAGAGTTCTCCTTCTTGAAAGATGAACGTAATACACACTGGTGATTGCATTTTTAAAATTTGGTAATAGATATAGTATGCTTAAAATGATTAACACTGCATCATTCATCTGTTTCGTCATTTTAGGACTCGACAGTGGTTCTAAGGGCCACACAGTTTGAAATCAGAATAGTCTTAACTAATTTTGAAACAGAAGGGGATGCACGGTAAGGGTGCGCGCATAAGCATAAACCGCCTTATTCTATTCAAAAGAAAAGATGAGTATTGGTTAATTTTAAATTAGATGTCGACTAAAACTCTATGCACTACAGTAATTCAGAGTTGGTAATATATATAGAATGATAAAAATAACACTGCATCATACAGGTGTTTCGTCGTTCTTAAGCTCATCGGTAACACTAGGGACCATAAGGATGGACATCCAAATGGTCTAAGCTAATGTTTTGAGGGAAGGGGGGGGGGGGGGGTAAAAACCTGTTAATAATAAGAATATTGAACTTTTGCAAAATGGCAACTGTGAAAGCAAATAGATGCATGCAAGGATATATTGACTTTTGAAGTATTTGCTTTAAATCATGACGTGTATCACAAAAACTATAAGGTTGTAGTATGATGTAGTCACACGGAATAATGACCCAAATATGTCGATTATGACAAACCCTTTTAAAAGAGTATACAAAACAGGCTGCAACCTGATATCAATAACCTCAAACAGTTATATAGGAATGTTTATATACAGAAGTATTCCTTGTCTTCATTGGAGTGGAAACAAATCTTTATAATTTTACACCCACCCCATGTCAAGTCACTTTCTCTCTTATATAAAGATATCTCTGATTCACTTTCATAAACGTGAACTATGTGGTCTCTAATTGTATCTCAAAAACATGAGATGACAACTTATATAGGATTTATGAATGAACATCATAAACTTGAGGGAAAAAACCCGCCATCACCTGAAAGATCTAGATCAATTCACAGCATTTGAACACGAAATTATGTAGGGCCTTTAAAGCAGGGTCTATAGGAAATTATATTAATTTTCCTTATCTCAGAAGCGTTCTCCGTAAAAGTACATATTTCCTTTGTCTGTGTCAAATTTAACGATATAAATAAATGAAATTAAATATAGGAATCCCTGAGAAAAACATTTGGAAGTAGCTTCTGACATTTTTATTTAAGCTTAACGAACTCTACCAGGCTTGGTTGTTTGAACAGCAGGATAAATATATTCAATCGTTCGCCATGCCGTCTTCTGAATCCAATCAGTCAGTCGTCTATTGCACTATTGTGACAGGATTAAACATCCACGTGTGCAGATAATGTAGTGAAACGAATAAATATACATACTATCAAAGTGTTAAAAATTACTTATAGCATGAATCATGTTTGATCAAACTTAGAAGTGTCAGAACTGTATATTCTAACTGCTGATAGCATTGATCGTGTACTATCAGTACTTCTTATAGCAAGGACTTTCTGATAGCATTAATGCTGTGTGATAATAACTAGTGATATAATTAATCTTGTATTATAATATCAACTCGTGATAACATTAATCTTGTATGATTGTAAGTCGTGATAGTATTAATTTTGTATGATAATAAGTCGTGATAGTATTAATCTTGTATGACAATAAGCCGTGATAGTATTAATCTTGTATGATAATAAGTCGTGATGGTATTAATCTTGTATGATAATAAGTCGTGATAGTATCAATCTTGTATGATAATAAGTCGTGATAGTATCAATCTTGTATGATAATAAGTCGTGATAGTATTAATCTTGTATGACAATAAGGCGTGATAGTATTAATCTTGTATGACAATAAGGCGTGATAGTATTAATCTTGTATGACAATAAGTCGTGATAGTATTAATCTTGTATGACAGTAAGTCGTGATAGTATTAATCTTGTATGATAATACGTCGTGATAGTATTAATCTTGTATGACAATAAGGCGTGATAGTATTAATCTTGTATGACAATAAGTCGTGATAGTATTAATCTTGTATGATAATACGTCGTGATAGTATTAATCTTGTATGATGATAAGTCGTGATAGTATTAATCTTGTGTGATAATAAATCGTGATAGCATTATAGGTCGTGTGTGATCAGCTCATGTTAAAGCATTGGTCTTTTATTATCCAAAATACGGGTAGCATTTATCTTGTATGGATCTTGGATGATCAGAATTCCTGATACTATTCATCCTGCATGTTCATAATTAATTAATCTTGTATGTTCAAATCAAGACCTGAAATTTTTAAAATCTATTATTGGCTTATGTAAATCATTATCTCAGATAGGTAAACTTCCCATTATTTATCGCTTGAGAAATATGATATTTATCTTATAAATTTTCAGACAAAGAATGAGTCATTTTTAGATCGCCATTTCAACTTACAGTGTCGATGGTCCTTGATTTACAAAAGAGTTCCTAGCAATGCCTGGAACGTTTGAAGTACTCGAATGGACCTCCTTGAATTCGGCGGTGACTGTGGGGGCATCTTAGTCCACTTTCCTCAATAACGATAACCTGAAATGAATACAAACCCTAAGTTATCCAATGAATATTAATCTTGGCGGAACGAATCCTCTTTTGGGAGTCGAATAACAGCATGAAACGCAGGCGACAGAACGGAGGTGACACATCAATACTTATACTATGACACAAAGCAAAAAATAACTAAAAAAGTTAGGATTAAAGTTTGTAAAGAAAAGTTATATATATCAGTTCTAGCTCTACGTTTTTTACATAGTGATATTGGTTTCTGCCCTCACAGATATTGTCATGGAAAAATAAATCAATGCAAGCAGCTGCATTGACATTTCTAAAGATTACCTTGAGCACGTGTCTACCGAAATAATGTTCAAGTCTAACCCCTTAATACTAGTAGGATACCTGATGACTGAGGTAATCTATTAAGTATGACTGACGTAAAACTGCCAAAACAACACGTAACACTACGTCACCCCTTAACAATAATTTATTGATCAGGATATGGTAGAATAATTAAGGTGTACAGATGAGCTAAACCTTGAACATTATTTACATGTGCACTCTATCACCACAGTTCAACTCAACAGAAGTGCACATTACACATGGAAGCCAGTATCTGAGTCCTTGATTGGTCTAACAGAATTGAACACATATCTATCATTTCACATACTTTCTAACTAATTTAAACAAATGAAGAGTTTTGATCATATGGTTATTTATTAGGAATTTTGAAAGTAGGAGTCATACAATTTTTTTGTAATTATGAGACATTTTCATAGAATTTTACAAAGATCAGTGACAGCTCGTCAAAGAAATGGAGCTTTAACCCTTTGTGTATCCTCGATATTGAACGCATACATTGTTGTAATATATACATAACACATACATTGTTGTAATAAATAACACATGCATTGTTGTAATAAATAACACATACATTGTTGTAATAAATAACACATACATTGTTGTTTAATATACATAACACATATATTGTTGAAATAAATAACACATTGTTGTAATATATACATAACACATACATTGTTGTAATATATACAACATATATTATTGTTACATATCACACATACATTGTTGTAACATATGACAGACACATTGTTGTTATATATAACGCATACATTGTTGTAATATATACATAACACATACATTGTTGCAATATATAACACAACCTTGTTGTTATATATAACACATATATTGTTGTAATATATACATGTCACATATATTGTTGTTATATATAACACATATGTTCTTGTAACATATCACACATACATTGTTGTAATATATAACACAAACATTGTAGTTGTATATAACACACAAATTGTTGTAACATATCAAACATACATTGTTGTAATATATGACACACACATTGTTGTTATATATAACGCATATATTGTTGTAATATATACAACATATATTGTTGTAAAATAACACACATACATTGTTGTAACATATGACACACACATTGTTGTAACATATAACACACACACTGTTCTTATACATTACACATATATTGTAATATATACAACATATATTGTTGTAACATATCATACATACATTGTTGTAACATATGACACACACATTGTTGTAATGTATAACACAAACATTGTTGTTATATATTACACACATACATTGTTGTAATATATACAACATATATTGTTGTAACATATCATACATACATTGTTGTAACATATGACACACACATTGTTGTAATATATAATACACACACTGTTGTTATATATCACACATATATATTGTTGTACTATATACAACATATATTGTTGTAATATATACAACATATATTGTTGTAACATATCATACATATGTTGTTGTAACATATGACACATATATTCTTGTAAAATATATTACACACACTGTTGTTATATATCACACATATATATTGTTGTTATATATATTAACATATATTGTTGTAACATATCCTACAAACATTGTTGTAATATATAACACAGACATTGTTGTAATATATGACACATACATTGTTGATATATATAAAACATATATTGTTGTAACATAACACACATACATTGTTGTTATATATAATTACATATATTGTTGTAACATATGATACATACATTATTGTAATATATAACACATACATTGTTGTAATATATGACACATCCATTGTTGATATATATGAAACACATATTGTTGTAACATAACACATACATTATTGTAACATATGACACACACATTGTTGTAATATATAACACAAACATTGTTGTAATAATTGATTACATATATTGTTGTAACATAACACACATACATTGTTGTAATTTATGACACATACATTGTTGCTATATATAATTACATATATTGTTGTAACATAACACACATACATTGTTGCTATATATAATTACATATATTGTTGTAACATAACACACATACATTGTTGCTATATATAATTACATATATTGTTGTAACATAACACACATACATTGTTG